ATTTGCAGCTTCTCTGCTGGGAGTTTTGATCATGCAAGAACACTTTGCTTGCTCTTTTTTTTTTCTGACAACATGACTATATTTAGGGTTTTCATTCTAAGGCTGATTTTTGTGTTGCTCTTGCAGAATTCTTCCCAGTTGGAAATGGGAACCACAGAGCAGTCTTCACAGACCATCAAATCTGCTGGCTTGGAGCACAATAGTGAGCTGCAGAAGGTGAACTTGTGGCATTTCAGCAAACCTGGGCTCAACAGGGGTAGCTTGGGATGGGAAAGGAGCTTTGTCACCCTTCAGGGAGGAGCACTGATTCTTGAATGTGTTGCTGGTTTTAATCATCTGTCTTTGTAATGATGGTCCTGATCTTGGAGCATCAAGGTCATGCATCCAAAAAAAAAATCAGTTTTCACTAAGCAGGTTTCAGGCAGGACAAGACACTTGACTTGTCAGACTTGCAGAATGTGTTTATCCACTGCAAAGCATATGTTTAAATGCAGCTATTGAAATTTCCAGGTATTAGATGTACAGCACAGACTAAGTGTTTAAATGACTGCAGATCCAGGAATTTAAGGTAGCTGTTGTTCAAAAAAATACCTGGCAGAGTTTGTCTGATCACAACTAATTATGCCTGGATTAGTAAGTCATAGTGGGTTTGTGCTCTGAGAGGGATAATGGACAGAAGATGCTCAGGGGAGTTTAGGTGGTGTGAAACACCTTGATAAACATGACTGGGGCTCAGACAGGTGCCTTGGTTGGGCATTCCAGAGAAATGGGTTTGTGAGAGCAGGGGAGAAAATAGTCTAGTTTAGTCTCCTAGGGAAATGGTTGCTGTGCTCCCCTTGAGAGGGAGGCAGCTTTCCTCACATACATGCTAGTGAGGCAGTGAGTCTGGTAGCATTCAACTTGAGAAAAATATCATATGAATAACTACCTTGCATTATCAAATTAACTTTAAGTTTTTGTCTGTTTCCCAAAGGAATTAGAAATGCTCAGGAGTCAGATACAACTACAGGCTGCAGAAATCTCCAAGCTTCAGATGGAGAATCAAAAGCTACAAGTAATGGTACCAGTGCACAAGTTGCTTCTGTTTTTACTGGGGACTAAATCTTCAAGACCTGCCTTGCTGCTTACAGTGTCTGTAGCTTCTGTCCTAAACCTATCTTGTTTTAAGAATACACATCAAGTGATTCCAGCAGCGTTTTAAATCCAGTAATGAGTTAGTGAGACAAACCCCTCATGAGAACAGAGGGGACTGGTAGTCAAGTTAGTGCCCTGGGAGGGCAGTGTTCCTTGGTCTTCTTAAAAAAGCAAATACCAACTACTGGGGGTTTAAGCTATACTCTAATAAAAGGAAATAGTTTTGTGAGAGACAACTGTGATATCATGTACATGGAAGGGATTATTCTTACAAGCACTGGAGAATGCTGACTAGAAAGTTGAGGTACAGCTGAATGGCAAATGGGAGGTGCATCTGTCTGTGCAGGCCTCCAAATGCTACAAAGCTTTCCTTGACTGGGTACTGGAGTGATAACCCAGTAAGGCCTGACAGAATAGCTAAATAAATGTGACTGTCCTCAGCACTAGCAAACAGCTTTAGGAAGTGAACACTAAGCTATGGAACTTGAACAACACATTGTAGGGAAGTGTTACAGACATTTCCACAGCCCACTACCCAGATGAAGCTGCAGGAACATGGGCCTTGCAAACAGCTGCCAGACAAATGTTTAATGTACAGCTGGTCAGAGAGGAAGGCTTTGAACACTGCTGCAGTCACAAGTGTCAGCTGCTCTCATGGGAGATGCCACTGCATGTGTGTTGGCCATGTGTGCTCACGAGGCAGAGGTGTGTCTGTGTCCCATGGTGCCACCAGCTGTCAGGCCACCTCACTGCCATCCTACATCCTCCTGCCTCCCTTGCTTGGAGCATTGGCTCAAGTGTGGTACAACTGTCTGGAATTTGTGCTGTGTGGCCGTTGTAGCTGACAGACAGTTGCCACATTATGGACATTATAACTGGGCAGGGCTGGCTGAGGTTTCACTAGTGCTATTTTTAGTAGTCACACACAGAGATTTGGGTATTGAATCTAATAAAAGCATCTTTGGCCCTTCAGAAGTGTCTAAGTGGGTTGGCTGTTACAGAGTCTGCTTGGAAGAAACCTGAACAGTCTGTTTCAACTCTAGCTTCCCTGTAACAAAGATTTGCACCTTGCCATCTCTTTGTGTGAACATGTGCATGTGCATAGGAGTTCACTGAGACCCCACAATCACAGATCTGTTTCCTGATGCCTTGCAGCATGGGATGTATAGAATGACCATCCCTTGGCTACGCTGTAAAAAGGAAAGATGCTTTAAGAAAATGACTGTAATATCTTAGCTTACTGTGTTGGTATGTGAGGCACTGATAGTGAATTCCTTGTCCACAGAATGCAACTGCAGATCCTGTGTTAGGAGACAGTGGTGCAACAGCAGCAACCAGCTCTGAATTGGAGGCACGACTGGAGCAAGAAATAAAAGAACTGAAGGTTGGTAGTGGGTGAACACCAAACCAAGCCACTACATAATCAGCCTTCAATTAGGAGGGCTTCTACAATAGCAAAGGTTTTAGGTGGAAGTGGTTTGTTTCCTTAGCATCCTCAGTGTCTCAGGCCATGTAGGGGAAGCTGGATGTCTCCTCTGTTTTTTCCCTTGGGAAATGTAGGCCTTGTCTGCCTTGAAGGAGTTTGTAAGGACAGTCTAGGAATGAGCTGTACTCTGGCATGGCCAGTGCAGTTGGGCTGGGCAGAAGGGAACCCCAGTCAGTACTTGTCCTGGTACTGGTTTGGGTAAGGGTGTGTAGGTGTGTGTGGGAGCAGGGCCACCAGGCACAAGGTGGGTTGAAGCTGTTAAAGGTAGTGTATGGAACGTGGTTTTAGGAAACAGCTGTTCCTGGGTTTGTACTGTAACCTGATGTGGGACTTTTCCTGTTGCCAGAGTGAAGTGAAAGCCCTCTCTGAGGAGAAGGAGTCGCTGAAGCAGCACCTGGACTCCTCCAGCAGTACGGTTGCCATATTGCAAGATGAGAAGAGCAAACTGCAGCGAGAAGTCGCGGAATCCAAGAAGGAACAGGATGATCTCCTGGTGCTTTTGGCTGATCAGGATCAGAAGATATCTGCACTCAAGATCAAATTGAAGGATCTTGGCGTACCGGTACGTGAAGGAATGCAGCCAGTGAGTTCTTGGGTCTGAGGCAGATATGACCAGTCTGGGTATGGCAAAAAGTCTGGTGAGGCCTCTTTCTATGCACAGAGGGGTGTTAAACATACCAGAGTTACTTTCTCAACTTAATTTGGCAGCCATCAGTAAAAGATGACCCCTGCCTCTTGTCCCCAGCACTCAGCCACCTTTAGCAGAGAAGTAAAAACTGCGACATTATGACAGTTGCATGTATGAAGCATTAATTGACCTGGCTGATACTCTGAGGGTAGCTGTAAGCTTATCTGCATTCCCTAAGCATTTCTCTTGTCTTCCACTGGCTGGATAAAGTCAGAGGTGTTACTGCTCACAACAGATCTTCTATTAATTTCAGGTTGAAGATGAAGATGATATTGAATCTGGAGATCAAGGGGACGAAGATGAGGATGGGGATGAAGATGAGCAGGACTAGAATGCTTTTGTGTGTTACTATGAAAATGAGATTGCATTGTTGTTGGGGAAAAATCTATTACTGGTGTACAAAGCAAAATATCTGCTTATGGGAAGCAGATGGGAAATGGCAACCGTGGGCCTAGTTACAAGTTACTGGAGTGTTTGAAAACCCTTCGTACTAGGTAAAGCAAACAAATCACCGTTTCAGTTCTACATGAATATCCCAAGTTGTACTTGTTTAGAAGTTGCTTTAGACACTGTTTAAAGCAGGGACATGACAATGCTGATGCCTCAGTTCATTGTCATTGATAGTCCTGTGCATTTGTCTATAATTAAATACAGAAGTATTTGGTTTAACACCTGTCACGTGGAGTTGTTGCCCCTGCCTTGAGCGTGGAGCTTCAGGGTAGTTTGTGGCTTCCTCTAAAGAGCAGTGGGAGGCAGAAGGGCTGGGGTGGCCTCTGCCAGCCTGGGGGGCTGGTCCTTGGGGTGCACCTGCACACAGGTGTGTGCCTTGACACCCAACCTGGCTGCAGTCAGACCCTCCTGGGGAACCACAGTGTTCTGCTAGTACCACGGAAGAGTTTCCATTAAAAGCTGTGCAAGAAAGGTAGCCTTGTGGAGAAGAATATTTCTGGAAACCCAAGACCAGTACACTCTTGGAAAAAAACTAACATGCTACTGCGTCAGCATAAGAAGTTAAAATCTTGTTGACTACTTCATTGAGGAAATGAAAACTGCTCTGATTTATATAACTTATTTGGTCTTGATGAGTGAATAAAAGATAAAATTTTAAAAGAAGACTGAAAATGTTAAATGCATCAAATTCTTCTTTTGGTAATAAAAATAGGTATGTCTACTTAGTGCTCATTTATTCTCTTGTCCTGTTTTAATAAAATATATTTTAATACACATAAGAGAGTCTAGAACTCATCCACTTTGGCACATGCAAGTACTGAAATACCACCTCCTGAGGCTCTCTACCTGAGTACAGAGAGTGCATCCGGTTCACTTTTTGATTTTTGGAACTCTATGGATTTCAGTTAAGTGCTTAAATTCTTTGGACCTTTTTTAAAAGTAAAATCATTGCTTAATCAGGTGACAGTATGAAGAACAGCAGGAACGACAGACATAAATGGTACTCATGAGCTTTGCAGGGATGTTGTTTTTACTCTAACTCTCAGCATAAGTGGGGCACAGTAAGAGTGGTGGGCAGCTGCCAGGCTTGGAAAGTCAATTTTACCAACACTTTTCTTAAGAGCCCTGGCACAGGTGACAGCTTCAGTACCCAGGTGTCCAGCAAGCACTGCCACCAGTGCTACCCCCAGGGAGCTGGTGACAGTTTGCCCATCCCTGCTTGGACAAGGCAGACCTACTTACTTATATCTGCTTGAACCTCTTCCCCGTTGCTGTCAGCTGTGACAGGAGGCTGCTTTTCTTTGGAAGCGCTGGATCCTGCAGGAGAGAGCCAAGGGGACAGTGGAGGAGGAGTGGTGTCAGTTGTGTATGTGGCTTTGTTGTGTATGGCAAACGTGGAAAGCTGATGTGCCCTGTAGGGTTGGACCAGTGGGGACATTGCTCCTCCCTCCCCGTGTCCTCTTGGGTGACCTTGCAGTCTGCTCCACACACCTTTCACACTGCCCCAGCTGCTTTTACTTTATTGACCTCTGGGAGCTGTTCTGCGAGGTCTCTGCAAATGCTGAGGGCAGAATGAGCAGGTATTCCTGCAAGTTGGTCAGATCGTACCTGAGGAGGCACGTGGGCCTCTAGAGAAACAGGGATGGGGGACGGAGAAAGGCAGATGGGAAAAGGTAAAGGAACCTTTTCCTTGCATGATGAGACAAAATCACACGAAAAATAAACTCAGCCTCAGTATGTGAAAGCAGAAGGCACGTGAGGGATGGTGTGGCCTGACCCCGATCGGTGCCCTCCCCAAAAGGTGGGATGCTACAACATGGTTTGTGTTGCCATTCTCTGCAGTGTTAGGCTTGGGAAGTTCAGCCCTCTGAATGCAGCTCCAAAATGTTGAACATTGCAAGAAATGAAGGAAGAGATAACTAGGTGGGTAGGGAGTTCAGGATGCAGACACACTGGCTACTAACAGGTTTTAAAGCAACCTGCGTGGCACAATTGTGCATGGAACAGCCTCACCAGTGCCCCTTTGCAGAAATGGGTGTTGGGAAGCGGTTCCCTGCCATGTTCACCTGGCATGCTGATCCAGCTAAACTGACTTCTGAAAGCCCACAGGCCTCTCTGTGGAGGCAGATGGTGAATCTGTCACTACATAGGTAGTTGTGGCACGTACAAGCTGCTCTACTACTTCTATAGCCCTGTTGTGCAGGCTGTGGGTTTTACTGTACATACCCAGCTCCTTTGCTCCAAGAAGCAGGTGCTAGAACATGACATTTATTTGAATTGACATTTCAGAAACAAGAACTGGGTCTGGGCAAGCCTGTGATCACCTCCTATCACTTCTATAAAAACTCAATAATCTTATGACACTGTTCTTGATGAAGGACATCCTACTGGGAGCAAATGGTGATGCAATGGCTTTGAACCCTGAGGCTCATGTGAAGGTCAGGCCAAGGCCCAAAATACCATTGGTGCAGTGCTGTGCCTCGGGGCTGGAAGTGTCACAGCCATGCAGGGAGGGGACAGTCAGCGGTCATTAAGGGCTGCTGGCAGGACACTTTACAACTCCCGGGGCAAACAGCCTCTTGATTGAGGGAGATAGAGTGCCAGTCAGGAAGGGATGTGGCTCTTCAGGCTGCTGCCTTTACACATGGGAAGGTCCTTGAGAAAGCACGTGCTCCAGGGTCAGTGTTACAGAGGGGCCTCAGACCGGCCCCGGGACAGCGAGTGACAGATGAGCTCAGCACCAAGAACATGAATTAGCCCTGATGGTCGGCGAGACCTGAGGCACAGGACAGCTGGGACACCCCAGCCATGTGAGCAGGTACAGCCCCTGCACCCAGATCATATCTCTGTGCTGACCCCGGGTGTCCAGGCTACGTGACAGTCCAGGGGAACAGAGGGGCTTCCCAGCTCCCAGGGCTGACACCGAGCGCACAGGTCACAACATCGGGCCCGTGCTACAGCAGTGAGCCACTTCTGACTCTTCTGTTGCTGTGTCTCCACTTAGGCACGGGAAGAACAGTCTGACTTTTATGCAAGTCCCTGGCTGTGCCTGGAAGTGTCACCATGAAAATGAACAGGGCAGCATGGATATGTGTCCAGCTCAGCAGTCTGCCCTCATCAAAGACAGCACAGGAGAACTATGCCCCATCATCACACAGGGAAAGAAAAAGCTCTCATCTGAGTTTCACCACCAAAGAGGGGTTCCCATAGCTTCCTGCTGAGTTCTCTGGTGCAGCCGGGGCTCTAGGCAGGGCAGGGAATCCTAAACACCCTGCCTTACACCAGGGAGCCTATGTGGTGAGCCCAAGGAAGGCAAATTCTGCATCCACAACAGGGAACCACCTTGCTCTTGGGCTTCTTGGCTCTACATTTGAGCCAGGTAGAGGCCAAAGACAGAGCTGGTGCTTATGCCCTCAATTCTGTTTGTCCTAGTTTTCCAAATGGTGGAAGTGCACAGGTCTAAGGAGAAGCTTTGCTAGCACTTGCATGACTTAATGTGCTTCTTGAAATCCCAATCACCCGTTCCTCCCTTGCAGACAGATTTACTGCCTACATCTGAACATGCTCCCATGGAAGTTGCCTGAAAGACCTTTCTTATTCATTCTGTACCTGACTTACTCCGAATTTCAGCCTGTCCTGTCTATTCTTACCTCCTCTTTCAGAACAAAGTGCAAAGTGGAACAGTGTCTGCACAGCTGCTATTTGCAGTTTAAGACACAAAATCGGTGCACAGTGGGAGGATCTCTGCTGCCTCGGTGGCAGAGGGGCCACATTGCTGCACACTCACACGTCCCACTCTACAGGCTCCCTCTGTGGGGTGGGCTTACACCTGTAAATCCATCACGGATTTGGACATGGCACTGGATAAAGAACTTCTCTCCCCAGGGACACATATGGTCCAAAGGCAAAAGAGAAACGAGGCTTCCCCTCTAAGTAGGGGAGTCCTGAGACGCTCAGGTTTAAACCATTAGCACAAGCTCTCCTGGAGCTTGTTTGGTGACACATTCTCCCTGCTGAACTTTCTCAACGACACTCAATCTAAACTGAGTCTGGGCCTGCGGGTTTGCTGCAGGCTGCATTCTTCTCCCGGCGGCTCGGGGGGACACGAGTGAGTCTGGAAGGGAGAAAGATGCCAGAGCGACTATTTAGCCCTTGCTGATGCTCCAGCATGGTTCTGTATCCATCTGGGCCTGCCGCAGTGGTCCCAGGGCTTTGCTGTCAGACACCATGACGCTTGCAGAGCCCCACTGTGGCCCCCAGATGTCGCGGTGTGCCCCCAGACGGGCCAAACCCAGCCAGAGCTGCAGGCCACTGGAGTCAGGGGAATGGAAGGGTTGCCCACACATGGTTCCATATCCATCGGGGCTCTCCGCAGTGATCCCAGGGAATGCTTTGCTACCAGACGTCCCTGTGTTTGCCAAGCTCAAGTGTGGCCACCACATGACACGGTGTACCTACAGATGGACCAACCCAGCCAGAATCACAGGCTCACAGAATTGGGAGGGTTGGAAGGGACTTCTGGAGATCATGTGGTCCAAACTCCCTTCCAAGGCAGGGTCACCTCGAGCAGGTGACACAGGAATGCGTCCAGGTGTGTTTCGAATTTCTCCAGAGACCCTTTGCTCCCAGAGGTCCTGACACTTGCAGAGCTCCACTGTGGCCACCAGATGCCGTAGCATACCCACAAACGAACCAAACCAGCCAGAATCACAGTCACAGACGCACACTGGCAGCTCGAGTGTGGCCACCAGATGCCATGGTTGTACCCACGGATGGACCAAACCCAGCCAGAGCTACAGGCTGGAACACAAGTGTTGTGGCTGCTGAGGTTACACGCAGGGAAGGGTTTCCAAGCCATGGCTCTGCATCCATCTGGGCCTGCCACAGTGATCCTGGGGAATGCTTTGCTACCAGACATCCCAGAACTCACTGAGCTCGAGTGTAGCCACCAGATGTCATGGCCAGCCAGAGCTGCAGCTTTGGAATCCAAGCGCTGCAGATGCAGAGGTTACACGACTGGAATGGTTTCCACACTAACTAGATGGTTGCTTTTGGTTTTAAACAGAGCTGTTGGCAAACAGCTATAATATAACTTACTGTCCTGCTGCCTAAGTTTGGTAATCCTCAACCTGAAATAGTTCCAGTAGCTGGCTCAGTGTCAGGACATAAGTTTATTTGAAACAAGGGAAAAACACTTCCTGAGGTGGCTAGAGAAGAGAGCAGCTGGTAGGATGCCCGGTGAGGAGCAAAGGGCTTCTCGGGCCTGTCACAGCCACGAGTGAGTACAGGAATATGGGGGCTGCCAGGGGTCTGAATTACTGCAGCTGCTGCTGGGAGGAGGCAGTTGGTTTTGGCCCAGAGGAGCAAGCAAAGACAGCAGGTATGGCATTCCAAGGTGACAGCAGCAAGATGCAGGTTAGTTCTCCCCTGCTCCCTCCTGCAAAGCTGCCCCAGAGGCTGCATAAGGGCTGGGGTTGCTGCAGCAGAGGTGAGGACAGAGCAGGCTCTAACACAGTATTTGTGAGGGCAACTGCTCCTTTATCCCTAGAAATGGATGAGGCTGTGTCAGCCCGCCCAGACGTACAGGCATATGCCAAAGGTAGAGTGGAAACATGCCAGGCTCACTCATCGCTCCAGGAAATCCGCTTGGATAAGAACAAACTTTCTCTGTTGTTTTTTTTTAAATCTCTCAGACACCTACACTCAACTTGTCATCAGCTGTCTGGAGCCAATGCTATCTTGCACGCCACATGCTTCACTGGGAAGGAAGGGGGTGATGGTTAAGCAACCTATACAAGGCTTCTACTCTGAGCAGCTCAGCTGCAGGTACCCCATTACTCACTCCTCTTGCTGGCAGGCCCCAGGCATAGCTGACCCCCTCTGGAGACACTCCCATGTGTGGGAAACAGTCCACAGCAGTGTCTGCACTGGGTGCAGCTGTGTCAGATGCCCCCTCCCCAAGGCTGAGCACTAGCTGTGCTCTCTGAGGCACTCACATCATCTCTGTACTCCCTGACCTGGCCACCTAGAGTCCAGTGCCCCTGCTCTGCACACAGGGCGTGCGAGGGCCTGAGCCGGGCCTGGTGCTTGGGGTGAAGTGCTCTGATGTCACAACTGTGGGACTTGAGACCATTTCCCGGCAGTTTCATGTACACTTGAGTCACTCTGCCCTTTGCTCTAGAAACCTCCTGTTTGACCTCAACAGAAAAGACCAAGCGAGAAATTTCCCCCCATTTCTGCTCATACCCCTGCAACGCAGCGTTTACAATGGGGTGGTATGCAGAAATTTTCTTCTGGCTTCACCCCCGGTTTAAATGTTCCTGGTGACACTCCCAGCTCCTCATCAGAGGTTTGTGCAGACTTCTGATTGTGCAGATAACTGTTATTCCTTCTTCCCAGTTGCTTCATGGTATGCAACAGGACATTAGTCAAAACAGTTGTTCCTCAGGTAACATGCTTTTTGACCTGTCTACAAATATCTGTTACCTGCAGATTTTCTGCTGTATTTCCCTGAAGAATGTCCCAACTGAAATGTCAGGATAACAGGATGGATGATGTAGCACATCTTTTCATCTCTGAGATGACAGGACTGACAGCAGCTATAAGTCAATGTGAGACCAGGATCTGCACAGAGGATCTTTGCTTTTTCCCAAAGCCCTTCCTTACATCCAGTCCCCCCTGCCAATAGTGGAAAGCAGTGCTGCTTTCCTTGGAGGATGCTACCAAAGATGTGCTCCCAGTGCCTGCTGTGCCTGGCATTCAGCCGTGTGTGTGAGCTGGCTGAGGCCCGGGGGCTGCCTCAACTGTCTGCTCCCGTCTGGTGCCCTGACCCAGACCTGCCAGAGGCCAAAATGCTGCCTGGGAGGAAGGAGCCCATGCTCAGCTTCTCCCTGCATCTCTAGCTGTGGTTTTCCAGGCAGATTTCCAGGTGTGTGTGTGTATGTCTTGCATCCAGGCCTCCAAAGAAACCCCCAAGTCTCAGATTCCCCAGGAAAGAAAGAGAGGAAGGGAAATCCCCCTTTGAAATGGCTTCTCTCTCAAGAGGTGTCAAACAAAGAGACCAAGGGGACAATGCATGGCTCTGCACAGTCTCTTGGCAAATGAACAGAGATAACTTGGAAGCTGTGCTTCTGTTTTGCTCCCTTTCTTTCCGTTTGTTTTCCATTTCTACACTATCAAGGTAACTTTTGGCAAAACAAAACTGAGCGAACCCTCTGGCTCACAGCAGGCAGAAGGCGGCACAGACTCAGCTGCCAGGATGGATTGTGCCAGTTGCAGAAGTCAGGCCTCACTCCCCCAGTTGAAAAATTAAAAACTAATTAAACATGCAGCAGGTGTTAACGGAAGGCACGAACCAGCTGGCAAACCACAAGCCTTGGAAAAGGTACAAACCAAGTGCAGACAGGAAATCCCCCACCCAGCCAGGACCTGGAAGTTGTCTACACCTGAAGGAGAAGTAAGTGGGGGTGGTTTACTTTAGGTCGATTATTTGCAGATGACTGAGCGTGAGTGACGTCTGTTCCCTTAGTTCTACAGCAGTATTATCAAACGAGTGAAAAACCAGCCCTTGCTAATTCCCGTGACCCCTTTCCTCTGAATGGTTGCTTCTCTCCCCTCTGAAGACCTGATCCTGACCTCCTTGAGTCACTGGCACTTAATCATGATGTAGGTGTCAAAGGAGCACTCCTGCCAGACAGTCTCTACACAGCTGGGTCCCAGTTTTAGGGCATTCAGGCCTGGCTGAGGGATGAGGAAAGGGAATTATGTCCACGAGCTGCAAGGAAGGCTAAATTTCTCGGTGGAACCGGACTGCAGTGTTTCAAGGATTGCTGCTTACATAAAGTGTGTTGGGTCCCACCTTTACTATTCCCTCATGGAGATCCAAAAGCTGAAAAGATTACAGGGCAACAGCCAGAGGTGGGGATCTTACAGATAAGGCAAAACGGTCCTAAACATGGCCAATACTCACAAAGAGGAAGCTGGCTGAGACAACAGTCCCATACTTTTCTCTCTGGAAGGCCAGCTCACCTGGCCTGAATCTTTGCTAGAGTTATACACCTTTTTTGAAACCCACCCACCCACCCTTGTGAGCAGTCCATTTTCCATTTCCCCATTCCCACCCCTCCCCTGCCCCGCATGCCCTCGTTACTTCGCACTGGCTCCAGATAACTCTACGTGTATTTATCTTGCAGAAACAATCCATCACTTACGTTTGCTGCTTTATTGACCTTCTCCCATGTGGCACCTGGCTCCACTGCAGCTCGCTGTGGTGCGTGACCTACCCGTCCTCCTGCAGACTCTGCCACGGCTCCAGCTCCACCGCAGCCACGGCTCAGGCCCTGCAACACAACAGGGAAGGACTGTCCTCACAGGGGCCAGTTACTCCTTTGGCTGGGAAATGGGAATTCATTTGAACTGTCTGCTGGCAAAGATGGACTGGGCTGGGTGAATTTTGGAGTTCTCTGTCTAGTGGTAGAGATGGGACACAAAACTGATCACAGAGACACTAAACATACACATTTCCACATGGATTTTTTTTTGGCAGAGAAACCACTTGTTATAAATAGAGGGAAAAGAATAACTCAAGACCTCTGAGAGGCTGTGGCAGTGACAAGCTCTGTTCCTAAAAGAGGTATGAGCTTGTTATCTAATTCTTAGTGTACCAAGGGAGCATATTTACATTGCAAAGTGTTCCTGAATTAGTAAGTATTTTTAAAGCTTTCCAAATAAACTTCAAAGCAGGAGCACTTCCCTTTGGTAGGGAAGGGCTGGCTATGAGTGGGAGCTCTGAATGTCACCTGCTAACCACTTCCTTCCTGCCATCAGAACTCTCCCCACGGGTGGGCTTCTCCTGCCTTTTTTTTTTGTCCTACTAGAAAAGCCTCGTGAAATACAAGAAGGCTCCAGAGGGGGCTCAGAGTAGGCTGCTGTTCATCACCTCTCTCCCAGTCAGTATTACTCGTTTTAGAAGCAGGACTACTACAAGAGGCAGAGGGCTCAGCTCCTTGGCAGCCTGTGGAAGCTGTGGAGCAGCCATTAGATGCAAGGAAAATTGCATCAGCAGAAGTTGCTCAGGGGCTCCCAGCCTGCTGTCCCCATCCCCACCACATTTCCCAGGGCAGGGTCAGACTGCAGGGTTTAACTGGACACCCAGTGTCATTACAGAAACACGTGTCTTTTGGAAACACGACTGACCCTTTGGAATTGACACACCATGAAGGTGAATTCAAGAAAAGCAACCACACATGGCAAATACTTGGGCAATTTCCTCTTGGTACATAATTGCTTGTTTTGTGACCTAAAAACCAGTATTCTTTACAGTCCTTCACAGGGGACAGGTTACCGAAACTATTTATAGCTGCTTTGATCCCTTCTGCAGTGGAGGTGGTGATACATTGATCAACCAGACGTGACATAATTCCTGATGCTGCCATCCCCAGCAGTGCCTCGTGTGACCTACTCCTCAGTGTTGCCGTGGGCACACGTTATCAGCCCCATCTATTGCAGACATGGAAGAGGTCCCTCCCTAGCAGAGGACGCTTGGGAAATGCAGGATACCAGGCATGCTACATTGTGTCATTGGCCCTTGATGAGGGGGTGAGGGAAGTCCATCTCGGCAGTACTTTTCCACTTGCTCTCCTACCCAGGAGCTGGTAGCAGGGCTGTTGCGACACGGGAGCTTCACATGTCACACGGAGGAGCTCCAGTGAGGCTGATCCTTGCAGAGCCAGAGGTCACATGTGGCCTGGAATTCCTCAGTAGTTTGGTGGTGCTAATGCACGGGGAGTTATTCTCAGGGATGAGAGATCTCAGGTGTTCCTTCCTTCCAGAAAGTACCTGCAATTCAATTGCAATGACTGTAGATAATACATATTCAATGGTTTGTGTTAATAGTCATTGGAAATGTCTGAAAATCAAGAAGGCTGAAGTATGTGGAGCCTCTTTTCAATCAGCAGAGTGACTTTGTAGCTTTTTCCATGGTTGGATAGGAGCAAGAGTCTGGCAATTTCCCAAGGAATGGGAATCCTAAAGAACACAAACCTGCTGTTTTGATAATGCAACTGCTTTGTTGCCATAACATTTGTGTTTCCTTTTGACAATGGTGACAATACTTTTACGTCAAAAGGCAGTGATGACACATTGCATTTAAGATGGTCATAAACACAACTGGAAAAGCAAATTGTAACACAAAGAAACCCATGGAAAATACAGGTATTCTTTGGAGGTAGGATAAAGGAAGGGGAGCAGTCCCCATGGAAAAGAAACCTGAAGGAAAGAAAGAGGGAGAATACCCTGCAGAGGAGCATGGTTGGGAAGCCAAGAGGGTGTCTGAGGAGCAGAGGCACCCTGCCTGGGCACCACTGGTGCTCAGGTCCAAGGAGGCTGAGGATGTCTGGAGGCCTGGGACAAGCTGCTTTCTGGACCATGACCTACTGGAATGAGCTAGTCAGATTTTGATCCAAGGCAAAAGAAACCTGGAAAAGGCTCCCCCTCTTAGAGATTGTATTACCACTGCAACAGTGAGAATTAACCCGGCACTTCCCCCATGGATCTTCAGCTTATGAAATCTTGGCCTTTTCAAAGTCTTTATTAGCATTTGAGCCCCTACCACAGTTTTATTATAAAGAACTTACAGTTACATACACAGGGAAATCCCTCTGTCTCCTGCCTAAGAAATGATGTGACATATAAGCAAAAGAGCCTCCAAGCAGAGCATCTGAAACAAACTTTGCTAAGTGGCCTGTTCCTCAAAAATTCCACTTCCCATAAATATTTTCTTCTCTCATTTCCTGTGTTCTACTTGTTACGTTGTTTAAGTCAAATCACTGTGTGGCAATTGCTCAGAAATAGAAGGTGACTGTAAGTGCCCCAGGAGCAAGTGCAACTGCATGGATGAGAAGGACAAGTGAGTGATCATGGAAACCACTGATATGGCAAAGTGCAAACTGATAAAACAATATAAAATCCTCTCCTTTCCTAACTGGCAACAGCCTCCTCAGTTAAACTGGCCTTTAACATGGGTGCTTTAGGAAGGGTTTCTTTAAAGACCAGAGGGCACAGGTTTGGCCTAACGTGGCTGTCCATGACTCAGGGCCTCTGACGTCATTCTGCTCTTGGCAGGAAAAGAGAGAAAGGGCAGTGAGTTCAGATAGGACTGAGGCAGCTTCTAACTTAACATGGGACATGTGCCACCCACCACACCTGAGTAAGGCAGAGGCACACAGATGCCCCTGGAGTAACGTCTGCAAGCACAATCAGGGGGAACAGCATCTCTAGAGTAACTCCTCTCTCTCCGGTCCCCAGGATGTTAGGGCCTTCTTCTGTTGTCATCCTTGCTTCCAGTGGTTCCCCTTCTCCCTTTTTCATGAAGCAGCATTTTCCCCCCCACATCAACACATCCTCTGCAGCCCGCAGGCAGCATCAAAGAAACCCAGGACAAGCTGTGGCCTGTCCCCAGGAATGCCATCCCCAGGCAGAGGAGCAGCGGGAGGCACACGGGGCTGACCTCGCTGGAGGAGGCAGGGAGCTGCACAAGATAAAATGCACCTGTTTTATTGAAGGCGTGTTTACACTGAGGATCAGATCCTGCCTTACTCTGCTAAAACCGTACAGTGGAGTGGCTTTTCTGGAACAGCTCCTGAATGGGCTTGTCCAAACAGCAGCAGGGGAACATCAAAAGGTGCAGCGATCACCCGCAGATAAGCGCCCAACTGTCTGATCCTGAGTGCCCCCGGGCACGGCTCAGCAGCTTGTCTGCCCTCCATGAGCTCTCTGTATGGCCCTCCCCTGTACCACAGCCTCTTTCTGCAGTGACTGCTCCACACTTGTGGCAGAAGAGAACTGACTGCCAGTCACAAAGCTCTGATCTCCAAAGAATAGTTAGTTGCTGGTCAGATAACTCTCGGTGAGAAGCCCTTTGGACAGAGAAAGGAATGGGAACACAAGCTTGGGTCAGTGCTCGAGCAAGCAAGTCCCTGCTGCAGTGACCCAGCCACAGTGGGAAGCGTGTTTGCATCAACCATGGCTCAGTAATTATAGCAACAGATGACTCGAGATCAAAGTGTGCTTGTGAATGATGTGGCGAAGTAAATCGATGGAAATCTGAGCTTTTTTATCTCTGGATCTGTCTTTAATGCTGACTTCTGTCCAGCTTTAACCTGCCCTGGGAAAGCATCTCAGCTGGCAATGCGGCAGCGCTGGCCCGGGCACACCCTGCAGGCCACCCGGCTCCCCCAGGGCTCCTGCCCTGTGCCCGGTGTGCCTGGGGCCAGCAGGGTGCCTGTGGGGCCAGCAGGGTGCCTGTGGGGCCAGCAGGGTGCCTGTGGGGCCAGCAGACACTGGGCTCTGGGGCTGAGCACGGGGTTCTGTCACTGCAGAAGGGCACGTTTGCTGTCACAGGGAGTCAACAGAGCCAGGTGCCCGGGAGCCTTGTGCTGACATGCCAAGGTGCTGCCGGTGGTTGCTGCTTCCAGGGGCTGCCCCTCCCATTATGAACACCCCAGGAGGCATCTGCTCCTCCACTGGATGCAGCCCAAGTGCTCCAGAGGTAGGTTCTGACCCAACTGCTCCCAGCCTTGCCCACCCAAAGAAGGTTGGACAGGACAGCCCCTTCCTTCAGGGTGACACAGCCCACAGAAACCATGGCTGGGCAGCACATGGGAAGGATACCATTTGCACAGCCCTGTGAATAAATCCCACGATCACCCTTCACCTAGGTTGGATCTGCCTCCTTTCTGTCGCGTATGCTCCCATCAGCTTCTCTCCTGTGTTTATCCTGAATTTTGGACAGAGTTAATTACCTTGCTAGGATGCTGAGCTCCAGCCACTGCCCACACCAGATGTTCTCTTGGTGCCAACCATCGGTAAGTGCTCCGCTGGGATTGAGTCATCTCTGCTCTGGTTCTCCAACAGGGCTTAGCAGAAGTGAGGCAGGGAGAGGTTTTCTAAAAGTGAGACACAAAGAAAGAAGTTATTTCACACACTGGTCTCTCCTGTGGTTGCACACTGGCTCCAGACACCTTTCCTGCATGGTTCCTGGTGTTTGAGTCAAAAGTGGCAGAGTGTGGAGAGAAGGCCAGGGTGGCTATGGGTTAGGTGGAGAGAACAACTCCTGACTTACAAAGAGTTCCCCAGGTGTCTCCGAGACAGTCCTGATCTCTGTTGGTGATCTCTGCTGCTTTAATTTGCTGGTTTAATTCCACAGGCAGTGCCTCCTGCACAGTCACCATGCGGCCCATGTTGGGTTAAGTTTAGAGCTGCCCCCCGGGATTAGGCACCGATGCCACCTATACATGAGATTTCCCAAATCACATCAATCATTGGGGTTTTTCCTTGCTTATGCTGAGATGCTGTGCTGCTCCTACATGATGATTTCTCAATAGAGCAGAGAGGCTTAATTATCGGGTTGCAAAGTTCCCAAGGGTCTTATGAAAGTTGAACTGGAAGAGTAAAGTATCATGACATACTGGCACTCCTTAAACCGTGATAAAGTTGTTACCCAAAAATTTGCTGTGATCCAGGGGAAGTCTGTCCCCTAAACCAGCTGCCCAACGTGCATGTGTTTTGGTTGTTATCATCAAAGTCCACAAGATGAACACGCAATTCATTATCATTTAGGGTAGTGCTTTGAATGTTATCATTTGAGCTTCTTAGAAGGTTAATCTTTCTGTCCCTGGGATCACATCTTCCCGATGAGGAACAATTAGAGTATCCTGTGGTGAAACACTGGATTATTATTAATGAAACCTATGCTGCCCTGGAGTTTTAATTGACTCAAGCGTTTAAACACAAGCCTGACTTAAAACATGTGGGCACTCTCATTCCTGCCACAGGAGCTACCAATGCTTTTCATACAATGCCGAGAAATGTTAACTATTAAAACCAGGTTTGATTATTTATTAACCTTAGTTCCTCACATGTCATACCCCAAATCCCTGAGCACTTAATGTGCCCTTGAAACTAAGCAGGGGTTTAACTACATCTTTCTTTCCCTTAAGTCTTGCAGGAAGAAATGTCTGGATTCTGTCAGTGCAACAGCTATCCACCTTTCCAATTCTCCTTTCCCACTTGCAAGCTCTTGGATGGAGACAAAAAGTTTCCAGGCCCAGCCCCTTTGTGCTGCCTGTGTGTACGACCAGGATACAGCTGCCTCTCAGTTCTGCATGGAGACTCCCAGCTATTCCCACAGGACTGGCTGAATTTCCCAGGCCATGTGCTGGAGCAGATGCAAGCTTCTTGCACAGAAAGGAGCGGACCTGGCTGGATTTGGATCTTCATGGGAGCAGGCCCACAGGGAGCAAAGGCACAGGTTGCTGCCAATGGCTGTCAACGAGGAGCAGTTCATGCAATTCCCATCTGCTGCCCCGCTAAATGTCATGGTCCAGGAATGCAGCTACTGCTCAGGCAGTTGCCAGCTGGCCACAGCAACTGCAGGTGTGTATCTTTTTATTTGTTTATATATGTAAATCGAGTCCAAAGTCTCAAACGATTAAGTCATGCGATGCAAGGCATGTGACAGTGGTTAATAGTGAAGGGCAGACAAGGGTGACAGGAGGAAAGCATTTCAAAGTGGCAGCTGTGAGGTAAATCATATTGGAATTGGGTAACCTGGATTTAGGGGAGAGGTTGGAAAGGAAGGGCGTAGCACTGGGAGAGGAGCTCTTTCTTTTTTTTTTCTCTGTGGAGGGCCTTGGTACTGAGGCTTCGGCCCTGATTTTTGTTTTACATCTGCTACTGCAGTGCTGATGTGCACCCACCAGCCTCATCAGAGAGGGGCCTGACTGACACCTAGAGAAGCCACAAAGTACTGGGGCTGGCTGCAGGTTTTGGGATATGCTCTTGGTACCAGAGGAGGCTCTCCCTCTTCCCTCTCCCTCTTCCAATTCCTCTCCCTCCCTCTCTCCTTTTCCTGGGCTCTCCGTAGCACATGAGACAGGGCAGAGAGATGAATGAAATGGGCTGATGGATGGAAGGAACTCTGCTGGACTCACGCTGGATCACACGGGATGTGGAAGATGCCCAGTTGAATGGCAACTGGATCTGACCCCGTAATTACCACTGCCACCACGTGTCTGAGCTGCAGCTGAGTGCACAAACAAAGCACTTGCCCATGCACTGACTGTTCTTCACATTAAGTGTTCCTGGGTCCTGGTCTTTTAAAAAAGAATATAAAACCTGGTCTGATCCTCCCGGAGCTGAGTAGGGACCTCTGTACGGACTTCAGGAGAGCTGTGCCCTGACATACAACTAGCCTCGTGGCAGACACCAAATGATGTTGTTCCCCAGCAGTCTGCTGATGTTATCACCCTTTCTTTGAGGAGTGAGAACAACAAGATCCTACAATGACAAACCACAGTGTTTGTTGTGGTACCAGACAGGTAAAAAAAAAAAAAAAAGAAAATAAAAGAAACCTTCCCAAATAATTACAAAAAAAGAGTACATTTCATGTCTCATGTCCTTTGTGTTTTTCATGGACCAAGCACCTTACAGACAATTTGCTCATGATCTGCCATACAAAGGGGACAAGGGACCATCATGGAACACAGACATAAGCCAACTGGAGAGGAGAACAGCACCATTACAGGGGAATCATTATCTTACACATAAAACTCTAAATCAGCGCCACATTTCAGGCTCACAATTCCAGGGAACAAGGAAAACCTTATTTTACATTAAGTTTCTTGCTGGTGGGTGCTTTCACCCAGAGACTAAATGTTGTTTAAAGCACTGCCACAAGGAAAGCTCTGCAACAGCCAGAAGTTGTTTCACCTTCACCCACTGTTGGCTTGATAGGAATGAAGGATTTGCATTTTTGCTACAAGTATTTTTCTTCTAAGTATAAGGCTACTACAAAACCAGCACAATGAATTAGATTTGAGTCTCTGATAAGCAGGAGTGTCAAATATTACAGGCTGTTGTGGCTTTGGGTATTGTTTGGTTTTTTTTCTTCAAATTCATCAAATTCTCTGAGGTTTTGAGTCTATAATAAACCAGCCAGGTGGATACAAAACTTGTTAGAGACCAAACTTGTGCCTAAAAGCAGTCAAAGGGAGAGTCAGAGCTGTGCACGCACCCAAGCAGGATGAACCCTGCTGTGGCCCTTCAGCCACTCCAGGTCTAGAAAGATGCCAAGAGGGTTGAGCAATGTGCCCTTAGACTTCTGTGCCCTGTCATCACGAGGCCGTACGATTTCACTCAATTACCAAGTCCTAACAGGCGCGTGGCACCTTGGCCTGACTGGCCGTTGGCTTTTCCAGAGTTGCTAGAGGGGGGAAAGGATTTTTCCATCCATGCTATTTGTTTGTTATTCCACTGTGAACTCCCCCAACTCCCTGGTGTCAAAACACCTGGCAGCGCTGCTTGTTTGTCCTGTTACTCCGAGTGCTGTGGCGGGTGGGAATTTGGCTGGCCCTGGGAAAGGAGCCACATCAAACACCTGGGCTCCGAGTCCCATGGGGATTGTGCTGCCTGGTTACTTGGGAAGGTGATCCTCCAAGAAGATGTCGCTGCACTGATGGGGATGACGGGAAGGATCTCTACAAATGCTAGAGGGTTAGTGTGAGGAGCACAGTGACTCTGGATAACACCCCAGTACCTCCAGTACTGGCCACACTTGGCTTTGGAGAAGTGAGCTGTAAGTCTGAAGGAAGAACCATACAGCAGGGAAGTGCTACATCCCTGTGTGCATCCCCAGGTCTGGGTGCCCTGTTCTCATGGTTATCAGAAGGCCCACAAACTCTACCAGGTCAGCTGCAGCCCCCGCTACTGTACAGCCTCACACAGAGAAACTCTACCAGTACCTGCAAATCCAGTTCTGTCCCTGGAAAAACGTGAGTGGAGCAGTGCTATAGACCATACTTCAGGGTGGAGACTCTTCTCCTCAAACCAGCTGCAATTGTTTGTTGTGTAATGGTGCCAATGAAGTTTTGTAACTCCCTCACATACTGGGAGGATTCACTTGATCATAAGAGCAATTTCACTTTCTGGCATCTACCATCCATCAGAAATTCCAGGCCAGAACTTTAAAGAGCAACTAACGACTTAGGATCTTATGACTGCTAAACGTTTCGACTGAGGCACCTCAGCAGGTGGGTACAGTCCTCCTCCTGAAACCTCCTCCTCAGAACAGGCATCAAAACTGTGCCTCGCTCCAAAAGCCCCGCCTAGGCTAACAGTTGTCCCAGACAAGTCACAGAAGCTCCTTCTGAACCAAAATGTCAGCTCCAACTCCCAGATGAATCTCTGTGCAGGATTTCAGGGAGCACACGCACCCTCCCCTCAGTTCTGGGAAGTTTTAGGTGCAGCAGAGCCACAGGCACGTGGGGCACAGCTTAGGAACATTCGAGGCCACCTGTGGCCACAAGGCCTGGCAGTGCTGACAGGCTTAAGGTGACACCAAAACACGACCACCCTCAGCCTCCTGTCAGGCTTTGAAGCGCTTGCAACCAGCTGGTGACTTGTGAGGGGAGACATGGGCAGAGGGCAGGATTGAACACAAAGGGTCTGATGGAAGTTGGTTCTACTTTGGACATGATTTGGACATGATTAGGCTTTCTTTATGAGATCCTTCAGATAGTTCCTGCAGGGCAAATCTAGCTAAGTAGTTTCATGACCTTCCCATACAGTAAGACTGACCCTATTTGGGAAGTCTGAATCCAGTGAAGCTTGGTAACTCCCTCTTACAGCTAAAGATGTTCAGTTAAGATCTGAAAAAAGCATCCTACCTCCCCTGAACCCATCTTGAACCCTGCCCTACACCAGTCCCTAGCAAAATGGTACCTGCATCCGTTCCACCCAGGCATACAATCAAAGGGTGACTCACTGTCACAATTCCTATTCATGCATTTATTGCCCAGATAACTCTCCATTAAGCTAATGAGTCATTCTTTTACACCCACCAAATGCATAGTTCGGCTGCTGCTGCTTTCTGCTATTCATAAATTAG